TAAAGGGTTATGGCAAATTCACTTCAAAAATAAATATATGAAAATAAAAAAAGAAACAGAGATAATGACTTTGGTCTTCTTTGTTTGTCCAATTCTTGTCATCTCCCTCCTCCTGAGTATTGATCCTCCTGTTTTCCATCTGAGCGTCATTTCCTTCAATCCATTCTTGTTACCTCTAATTAAGACAACACTTCACATGTTTCTGCTGCAGCTGGGGCCCAACGAGACGACACACAAAGACTCAGCAGCAGATTTTCAGGGTTCACATCATATTAACAAATGCAAAGGTGGGAGCACACACAGACACACACACACACACACAGACTCACACACGACCATGCACAGACGCACCATCACATACATGCACATTCATCAAACTACTGAACCATGGAATGTTTGGTTAGTGTCATTCCTAAAATAGGCAGTTGGACGGAGTCCATGGATATATTAGTGTTCTATCCAATCCAGCCCCCACCCCACTCACACCATCGTCCCAAGTGCACACACATCCTCCCTTCAGAAAGATGAATAATGCATTTAGCAGTGCAAGTAATCGACCCTAGGCATTAGCATAAACAATATGTCTGCATGCAGGGAAAGCTGACACAACACAGTAGTAGCCATAATAATAACACAGTGAGCTTCTGTCAGTGTCAACATCGGACATGAGGAGAGGGAGAAGCCCTCTCCTCTTTATGCTGCTGCAGCAGATTATTTCGTAACACTGGAGAGGTTATGAAACTCTCTCGTCCCAGTTGAACCTGCCCACCTGTTTTTCTCTCTGTCTGCGCTCACACGTTGTCGTGAACATGCAACCTGCACACTGTGAGTTCAAACACACATAGAAGTGTCCACTCTGCTCCGTCTGTCTCACACAGCACAGCCAGGCTGCTGTCTGAGAGCTCATTATCATTTGTTATCATTAACTATTGAAATTTGTTAAATATAAATTTGAATACACATAAAATTCATGTTTCTAATGAATGGGTTGAAAATATAATGAATATAGTAACAGAGGTACAAGACTGTTGTAATAGCACAATAAGGTACGACTCAAATTAATTGACTGTGTGAAATGACTAATAAATGTGTGATTGTAAAATTGCAACTTAGTGCTGATGTTTTTCTGTTTTGTGTAAATAAAATGTCAGAAAGTGGAAACGGATCACAAACCAATGTAGTAAAATGTGTTAAAAAATCTTATCACTAATAATTATCATTAAAATTAACATTTAAAACAATTTTTTTGACTATTAATAATAAAAAATTATTAATGTCCAATGAATTCCATTACTTTGGATAATAAATTCTATAATTATAGTTATGTGATATTGATTGTTTTGCCCCACACTTTATTTAGTTATGTTATTACTGCTACAACAACAGACTTCCTAACCGGACTTGTCAACTTTTCTGTGCATGTATACATGAATGTGTTCTACATCGTGCATGTACAGCGGCTGAATGTTTCACTTTAACTGTACGATGGACAAGGCACAGAAACCATAACACACATATGTGTACACTCCTTTAATCTTACAGGACCATCTATTATTCAGCGAAAGCAGGTGGGAGGGGCGGGGTAAAGGGGGAGTAGGGACAGGGCTGAATGGAGAGTGGGTGTGGAGGCGAGTGGGGACAACCGAGGGTGGGGTAGTGTGTATATACGAGTGTGTGTGTGTGTGTGTGTGTGTGTGTGTGTGTGATAGGGTTCAGGATGATTAAAAAAAACAGTCAACCCCCAACCTAGTGCACATTTGCAGCTCACTCTGGTCCCATGAATGGTAAATTGTAGGCGGCTGCTGAGATGGAGGAGTAAGACGAAGACAAAGACAGGGAGGGGGAATAAAGACCCCATGACCCCCCAACCCCCTCCTGACTTCCTCCCTATAGACGGTCACACTTCAGATGGGTGGCTTGTGTCAATACTCCATATCACTCATGAAAGAGCCGAGGAGTGAAGCACACACATTAACATTCACTTTCACACACACACACACTCATTTTGGTCAGTTTCCTATCTAAATAAAATGTGCGAGTTCTGTGAGAGAATAGCAGACTGCCAAGGGTATCCAGGAAAAGCTAAATCAAATTACTAACAACACTGCCTATTGTGCAGTGCATGTTGGGATAGACAGCAACCGTGACCCTGAACAACATACTCTGACGTGAAAGAATGGATAGATGGAGAGATTTTCACATGGCTATGTTGATTTTGCATGTTAGCATGTTGGCCAATTTAAAAACATAGAGGCAGATCCAAGTTAGTCCTGTAACCATGAATGTACATGTATAATGGTAATCAGTCCAGCAGTTATTTTACTAGAAACCAAAAAGAAGAAACTCATGGCGGCTCTGGATGAAAATCGAATATCACCAAAGTCATTCTGATTCATCCTCTGGGAGAACATGAATGTCGGTAAATATTGTTTAAATATTTAAGTCTAGTAGATCAGAGTGTTTAACCAATCATCAGATGTATTGCCATCCTCTGAGCCAGGTAGCTAACATGGGTAACTAGGGACCATCTTACAATAGAATCCGCTGTGATGCCTGTCAACATGTTCCAACAAATGTGTTTTGTAATAGTAATAACTACTTAATACACATGAGCACTCTGTGCTCATGGGACTGACCACACACATCTTAAAACATGTTTGCTGGTGGCAACAATTAAACACACAAATAATGCTCAGCAGCTGAGTCACTCATTGATCAAAATGAGAGAACAATGTTGGCCCTTTCAACTCAAATATCTCCCACTCCTGCGCCCACACACTCCTCAACTGGGTTTATGCTGTCTGGCATGACAGCTATCTGTAAACAAAATTGGTACGGCTGTCGAGCGAGGGACAGAGGAGTGTTGTAGAGGACGGTGAAGGGGAGTCAGGGGTGTTCACATTCAGACACACAGGGAAACAAGAGATCTGCTCCCAATGAAATTTAGGGGTAGGAATGCAGTGCAAACAACCACAGTCACAACAATACCATTAACCAAACACAGGACTCCAAAAAATATTTATTACCGATTGGTCTGATGATTACTTGTTCGGTTTTGGCTATTAAATGCAAAACAATGGCAAAAATGCCCATCACAGGGAACCCTGGTGGACTGGTGGTTAAAGCACTTCCCACAAAACTGCAACGTTCCAGCTGAGAGACCTTTGCAGCCTGTCATACCAATATCTCTCTCCCCACATTTCCCGTCTCTCTAAACTAACTGTCAAATAAAGTCGAAAGATCAAAATAAAATCTTCAGTTTCCACAGTAATGTCATAAATTCGTTTTTTGTTTTTCCAAACAAACAGTCAAAAAACAAAGATTTTAAATTCATAACATGCAACTTCAGTCACTGGGGATCTCTTAATAAAGACAATAACAAAAGACTTTGTTTGATGATATTAATAAACGGCCAAATGGGGACAGAGTTCTCAAAGCCACTGCAGGCCTCAAGAAAATCTGACAAATGTCCCTTCTGACGAGCTGGCTTTTATACACAAAGCCAGGAACACACAGCGGTCCACAGTCACGTATACATCGAGCCATGATCATGCATCCTGCAACCGGCTGCAGTTATAGCAGAGACAGACAAAGCTACAAGTAAAGCAGATGACACAATTAAAAGGAAACCAAAAGGAAACGTCTCTTTGCCTTGACTTAAATTGGGGGATTTCTCTGGTTTGAACTGGAACAGCAGATTCTTAGGCCTTTTGCTTAATAATGACTTTTAATCATTAAATTAACTAATTGCTTCATATTTACGAAATAAAATGATGGCAACTTCAAAAGCTTCAGTTGAAAGATCATCATCAAGACAAATAAAAGCAGAAAGTCCTCATAACTGTGAAGCCGGGAATAGAGATTGCTCTGATATTTTTGTTTTAAATGATTTGATTGTATTGGTTGAATGATCAGATTATTGAAGACAACAGATAAAAGCCACAGTGCAATGCTCTACTGCACTGATCCCAGTCTCTCATTCTAATTCAGAGCCACATGTCAAACTGTTGCCCAGAGCTGCCTGGTTGGAGGCCAGTTCACTCTGTTGGGATGAAAACTCTCACATTGGTGTTTCCTTTCTCCTCATATTCTAATGGACTTTCTCACATACGTCCAGTAAAGAAATCAGTGAGAAGGGCACAGAAAGCACACTAGGGCAAACAGATGAATGATGATTGGAAACCAATAAACCAAGTGCTGAATAGAGAGTGTGTGTGTGCATGCGGAAAACCTTGTGCATACATGTACTGTATGTGTGCATGTGTGTGTGTGTGTCCACTTGCAGTTGTTTAAATCCATGACTGACCAATGAATCATGTGGTGAGCTGTGGTATTTACAGTAACATTCTCCAAATCTAGAAATTCCATCGTTTAAACCAAGTAACTTTCAATGTGTCGAGCAGGTAGCAGGAGGAAGAGGAGAAGGAGGAGGAAACAAAAAGAAAACGGAGTCAGAGTGAAAGAAAAAAGAAGGAGAGAGAGTTGCTTGCTTTCCATCATCAGTGCTGTGACCAATATCAGCGCCTGACAGCACAGAGCTCCAGCCTTTCCCATAAATCCCTTCCCATTCTCTAAATCACACACACAATAACTGACCTGCTGCAAACATACAAGCACACACACGTGTGAATACATTCACTGCACATTCAATCACACAATGACACATTTCAGCACAAACTTATTTATGTCCTATATAAGAGTGCATTCCCCAAAACAGGAAAAACCATCCCCAGAGAGGTGCGCTCAGTATGTGCTTTGAGATTTACACTTAACAAGTATAATTACACTGAAAAATGTTATTCAGGCCCATATGAGTCCATGCTGGGGGGGTGAGCCATCTTCTATCCATAAAACAATATGACCGTTGTCAGTTTAGCTATAGCATGTTAAAAAACAAATAACTCCCATAAGGCATCAAACCACAGACAGAGAACCAGATACCAAACACAAAGACATTAACCAACCAGCTAAACAGACATATTTAATAATGTAATACTCACTGATTCAGCTCCACATCCAAGATGAATTCTCTCCCGAAAGCCTCAACTTGAAAGCTTGCTTGGGCCACATGGTTCACCTAAAGAGATGGAGGGGGCAGGTTATTTACGATTAACTACCAGCAGTCATTATCATATTCATGGATCAATTCTCATCTGCATGACTGGATGACTGCTTTCGTCTTTTTCAACATCAATCAGCAGTACGAAAAGAAGGTTTTCATTAAGTCATCAAGCTCCGTCCACTTTGTCAGAATATTAATTTCTACCAACGGTCTGATGGTAACGCGTCAGCTACAACAGAAATACACTTTACTGGCTCCCACACTTATTCACATAAGCAAACTTGCATATGGACAACACAGACATATGAAATATGAAAATGCACTGTGTGTGTGTAACTGATTTGGCCTGAGGAAGGTCTAATTCATTCTCAGTGCTGGGGAACATATGGCCCAGGCTTCATTACACACCATCGGGTCAATGAGAACTCCCCACAATCATTCCACTGCAGGTTCTGGGGGAGTCCCAGAGCTGAGTTAAAACGTAGATCACCCTCCCCCCCAGGCCTCAGCCCACGGGCCACCTTCATTACAGACCAGCCACTGCGGGACAGCGAGGGGAGGAGGGTGTGCATGCGTGTGTATGTGTGATTTGAGGCCGTGCCCTGGTGCTCACCCAAGAACGAACTTACCCCTGAGGTCCCCAGTGACCACAGGCTCTATTGTGTCTTTGCTTGGTCAATGCATATATGAGCGGAAAACAGTGTGTGTGGGGGTGTGAGGGTGTGTGTGTGTGTGCGGAACTACAAAAGGCAATCCCTTTCCATGGCACACTTGTGCTGAAATCTAATCTGGCAGATTGGATCCATGATGGGAGGAGGTACCAGTAATTGTGTTTAATGAAAGCACATCCCGGCTTGACTGAGTCGGGCCGATACTGGGAGACCGCCACCGACTCTCCTTACATTGATTTCTGAGTTATAGCAGGGCCGACTTTCCACTCATGGCTGTGGAAGTATGACTGTAAGTGCTGTCAGTGCACTGAACAGACACAAACAGAGAGGCAGGCAGGCAAAAACATACAAACAGACTGATCCAACACAGAGCATTTGTTTTTCTACCAAAACAACAGGAGCACTTTGCTGAGCTCTCCACTGCTCATTCAGTGGTGTTTGAGACTGAAAATAGACAATGCAAAAGAAGTCTATAAATATCCTGTGTGTCACACATTTTCAGAACGATCTGACAGATTTGTTTTTAGGCTATTGATCTAAATACAGCCATTAACTGATCAAACTTTGTACGAGTGACATCATAAGCGTTAATTCTCCAGAGGATAAGAGGCTCAGAACACAAATAAAAGATGCCGGATCGACTGACTCCGTCTCCTCCTTCCTTGGATCTATTTCTTATTTGCGATGTATAGCTTCATTTAAACTTTGAGTTTCACAACATACATTTTCAGACACATTAAAGATTTGTTTTTTCTTGGCTGTAATCTTGTGAATTTCATACATGTGAATGCAAGGATTTATTCATGACAGATCATAGAATCTTATAGAAAGTAAGAAATAAATCTTCTGACTTTAAAATCGATCCCAGAGACAGCACATGTTAATGTCAGCTTCAGGGGTACATTTTGATTGTACAGGGTTCAGGTTAGCTTGTTTAACCATTAGGCTGCAGTTTTGTCTGAGGTGCGAGACAGACAAAGGGTTAACACCTCCCTGCCTCTGACCATCTGTAGCCGTCTATACTCCTCAAGCCCTGAACTGGCCGGTCCAAACAGTCCTGAGCCGCACAAATTAAAAACGCATGACAGGTTTGCACAATACTAATTGACTCATCCCTTGAAATGAACCCAGCAGAAATGCTGCTTCACTGAACTGAGTCAGTGAACACAGTTACAGTGATTACGATTATTACCGCACTGTATCAGTAATTATAGATGAGGCCAAATGGCTCTGGTAGGCCTTCTTGCTAAACAACATTGTTGTGCCCAGGGGTTTCATTAACTAACAGCATTAATTTGTTACATGATTGATTTTGTTTGAGAACATGTCCAAAACATACTGCGAGACAAAGTTTAAAACCAAAGTGCAGCCTACTTTAAGTACTAGTCTACTGTGTTTGGCTACATAAAGACTCTGTTTTATGTATTTTTCATTTGATAAGGCACAAGTCCTCAGATCACAATACCTGCTGATTATATATAATAATTATTATATTTGAGAGCTAAAGGGAAAGCAGTTATACATGAATACACAAAAATATTGTTTTGTGAGGGATTCTTGGTTTATAAAGAATTGTGACTATACCGAAGCAGAACACCAAACAGTTGAGAAATAAAAATGTCAGTGCCCTCTGGTGGTCAAGATGATTCTCAACACATATGGACCAACATATATACGCAAATATGGCTGGGCATTAAAACAATATCAATAATTATCGCAATATATTTATCAATAGCAGTAAAACAAAGGTTCATAATATAACACTACAATACATGAGGAAAGTGAGGACGTATTGATTGATCGTAAAATGTTTTGCTGTTTTTCTTTTGTTTAAACCACAACCTTCACTAAACTAAACATAAATAAATAAAACATCTATTGTGATAATTATTGATATCGACTGATAAGAAATGTTGTCTATCTTGATATAGTTGTTGGCCATATTAAACAGCGCTATACACAAATACCACCATATCTGTGATAAGCTAAAATCTGCAGATAATTCCAACCAAGCAGTGATTTCAACCAAGACTCACTCATGAATAAAGGGAAGGGGACATGAGATATGTGTGGGGAGGTGAGGCAGCTGCTGGGGCAGCAACTCAGCCGCAATGACAAGATGCAAGTTTGACTGGAAATATGATCCTGGTAGTCCAGATGTCTACAGCTGAGGAGTTCATGAATGTGCAGAGTGAACAATGTAAACACTGAGGTCCATTACCCAGATAAACGTTTCAGTTTATATGTGGAGTGGTGTGTTTTCTTCTCATGACCCATATTGCACCTGCAGACAGCCTCATTACTGCAGGTTTGTTCCTGTCTTTTCCGTTTTGTTAATGAAGTAATTATTCATGGTTGAGGACAGACAGGGTGCAGACGAGGAGAGGAGTCGATACAAACAGAGAGGAAACAAGCAGAGAGGCTTCTCCTGAAAGCATCTCACATTCCTCCACCTCCACCCAGACAACACTGACTGGAGACACCGTGTACCTGTGTGGAGCCGGGGCTGGCTTTCACCCTGGTGCTGAGCTCATCCTGCGTGATCTGGCTGTGGCTGTGTCTGCTGTAGAGCAGGCGGAGAGGCACCGTGTCCTCCTTCCCGACGAACCTGCCCGCATCACGCAGAGCCTTCAAGCCCGACAAGGCGTCTCCTGCACACAGAGATGGAGGGAGAGAGCAAAACACCGATTTCATTACGCGCCTGTCGCCATCTCACATGTCGGTTTCCTTTCATAACACGAAGCAGCTATTGCCTGTGTGCACATTCTACATTTGGATCATGAAGCAGCCGATGCTATAAAAAATAATAAATAAACACGGGCATGTTTAATGGTATTTTACAGCAAATAAACAGTCTCAGTTACCATTTGGTGAATCTGCGCTGCTCTGGTGACCGACGGGCATCAGTCCACAGACGCACAAAAGGGAAATCCACCATCGCGGGCTCATCTTCAGCATCATCACCTTCCTCCCTGTCTCTGGTTGGAAATTATAAAACAATGCGGTATTCCAGGCTCCACGGGGGGGAATGGGGGTCCTGCCTTCGCTAGGAGAGTTCGGAGCCGGGGCTGATGGTCTGGTCAGCGCGGTCCCTTTGGTGGTGGGGGGCCATCGGGCAACTTGGGAGTCTGAACGCCAAACACGTCTGAGGCGCACCGAGACCCCGCGGATGAGCAGCACGGAGGAGGCAGGGAGGAGAGAGGGAGAAAGAAGAGGAGAGGGGAGGGGAGGGGAGGAGTGGGAACACCTCCTTACAACACATCAACATCCAGCGGCTCTCTGCAGAAACGCCTAATGCATAAACATGAGCGGAGGCAGGATGGAGGAAAGCTGCGGGCCCGGCCATCCACACACTGGATCGACTGGGATCATATCAAAGCTCTACTCCTCCACATCCCTCCATGTCAGTGAACGTAGGAGCGACGCTTCAGGAGACATTAATATAGTAAGACGTGTTTTTCTCACAGTGTAAAGACATGTAAGGACAAAACTCTACATTTCTCGTAATGAACACTTGAGAGAAATGTCTGTGTATAGATTTCAGCACCTGCAACCCTGCAAAAGCACATACGGATCCATCCATTGATCCATCATCTATACCGCTTATCCTCAGAGGGTCGCAGGATATAGACCCTGGACAGGTCACCAACATATAGACACAAACAACCACTCACACCTGAGTTCTAACCTAGTCACAATTAAATCAAACCCCACATCTGCATGTCTTTGGACTGTGGAAGGAAGCCGGAGTATACCCCAAGATAGCCCACGCAGAGAACATGCAAACCCCACACAGAAAGTTGGGATTCGAACCATGAACCTTCCTGCTCAGCTGTGACCATGCTCACCACATATGGATAATGGATGAACTTTTACTTTAAGGAATGAGAAATGTAAATTTTTATTATCTAAAAGCACAGTGGCAGAAGGTTTGAGCCACAAAAATGACAATGACATCTTCACTTAGTTGCCTTTATTTGCAGTAACACTGCTTGTGCCTCAGAACACATTGTTGCTCAAGTCTTTGTCCTTAATGTCAGTGGCACAGAAACTGCCCCTTGACCCAGTGCATTCATTTGAGAGCAGGGAGGGAGAACACAGGCACAATGCTAATGCACTAAATGCAGGAAAAACGCTGAGCTAATGCATCAGGAAAAACCACATGGAGCTGCTCATGGAAAGTGCACTTAGGTTGATTCCTTAAATGTCACATAATGTCAAGTAGCACATGTCCAACCAGCAGGTCATTCACATTAAAATACATAACAAGTATATGTATTTTATGATAGAAATACAACCAGTTACACATGTCTGGTAATATTAAAGTCCTCTTTCTTTAGATTACTGTGGAAAATGTAGCCATTGAGGCTTTTGTTTTCAATCTAAAGAACATGCAATTGAACAACGTCCCATTAATACTTTGTGATGGGACTTTATAGTTTGGGTGTTTCATGCTGCAGAGCAATGAGTTAAAGAAGTGGTGGCATTTTAATCCACTTCATGATGTCTGGAAGATTTTCTCCCCCCATTTAAATTGCTGTCTCTTCTGTTCTATGTATTTTCACCAATATCTGATATAAATTCCATTATTTTGGCAACATATACCAAGTGGGCAAATAATTTATATTTCAGTCAACTATGCAAAACAGAGCAGAGCAAAACAATAATGTTATTAGCCAAAAGGTTGCTTTTCAATATTAAGCCAAATGTTCTTGTCTTGGGAATATTATCTCTGCATACATATCTTTAATTTCCACTTGAAGTGGGGATACAAATTTGACCTCATTTAAGTCACATTTCTTATACTATAAACACAATGTTATAGCACATCAGCAGGTGCCGTTGAACAAAGTAATGAGGAAACATATTTTTTGTCCCTGAAACAAAGTAAAACAGTAGATCATTCTATTTGTCCCATATGATTAAACCTCTGTTGCTGAAAACAAGAAAGATCTGTTTGATTTCTAGTCTACGACAGTGGTGTGATTGGAAAAGACAATAATAGTTCAGTTAATTCCTTCAGCTCATTTTCTTTTAGACCTCAAATCCACGAAACTCCATGTCCATGTCATCACTTGACTGGAAAAGCTCCACCAGCTTCAGCATGTAATTGTCAGGAGCATCACTTGGCTTTACGTGTTCAACATGTGTGTCAATTTTTCGTCTTTTGCGTTTAAAAAATCTGACTTTTCTCTTTATTTTCCAGGCTGGAGAGAAGCTTTGAGGAGGAAGCTGTCCCTCTGTGTTTTCTGCTAAGTAGTTTCCAGTCATTTTGTCAGGAAATATGCTTCCATCCTGCACAGCTTCAAACTGTAACACATCCGTGTTTGTTTCAGACTGCTCTTGTTGATTTGTCACAACATCGAGGCTTTTAGAGGAATAATTCTGTACATCAATGTTATTGGAGCATGAGGACAAGCTGTTCTTGTCTATGTGAGATATTAGGTCCACTGAGTCGACCTGAGGAACTCCGGAGGGAGAAGCTTCAAGGCGTTCGCCTGTAGAGGAGACCGTATTCCTCTTGGGCTGAGCAATGTGAGTTTGCTCAGCTTTTTGTGAGCAAGAAGTCAAAGAATTCTGCCTGCACAGACGTTTAAGTGCGAGAGACTTGGCCTTGGATCTCTCTGAGTAAGTGTGACAGTTCCTCCTGTTCCACTCCCTGTGAATCAGACGAGCAGAACCAGGAACTGATCTGATTTTTAGAGCGTGTCCTGAATAAGATTCCACTTCGACAGTCTGTTGCTGCTCTTCTTTAACAGTCTCTGCGGTAACAAGATCTCCCCTGTGCCTTCGCTCAGTTTTCCCACATGGTCCAGGAGCAACCAGAAAAGAAGAAACGCTGCATTTTGTTCTAATGGGAATCAATAGAAATATATTACAATATAACAGAAAAGATAAACTATGTGAATAAGTCAAAAACAAACACAAGACGGATTATATTTACAAGTATTTTTGTGAACATTTCTCATTGATGGAATTTTAAGATTACCTTTTAACTTTAGTTTTGACGTGGATGAAGTTGCAGGGCAGTGTTGAAACCTGTCTGTCCACAACCGAGTATTGATCACTTTTGGAGAAAGCCTTGTGACGTTCACTCTGTAGATGCTGAATGAAAAATTACTCTGTTAAATTATTGATAACCACAGCTCTCTCCGGTGGAGGCTACTGAGCACAATTTCCTATAGTGTAGAAGCAATTAAATACAAAAATTCTTGGGTAAGCTTCTGACATAAAATAAAATGTTCAGGTAATAAACACATATTACCTAGGAACACAGCATTATTGAGGTTAGACTAAATCAGACAACTTTTACTATGAGGATATGAGCAATGTTTATAGGTTCCTCTTGTGTCAAACTTGAGAAATGGATACTACTGACAAGCTTAGTGTCTTTTTTGCAAGCTTGATTTGTTTGGACCAGTCTATCTCCTAGATTTAAAATGGCCACTTAATGTCAGATGTTTATAAATGTGTATGTTATCAAATCATACAAACACACATACACTATCTGTACTTTCTATATGTTGTAAAAAATCATGTTGTGAAAACAGGTTTTACCATAAATTACTTAAATAGTATAAAATTCTTATAATAGACATGGTATTATGCTTAGAAATGTGGAGACTTACCATTGTGATGTTTTCGTATTTGATCAGACAGCACTCGCAGTAGCCGCCTCGTTTCTTGTCTCTGTTCTTCTTTCGGGCGTGAGCTCTCTCCTCACTGGCTGAGGCTTTCGCACCTCTGTTCCCAGACGACCCCAAAGGTTGAACAAATAAAATTGGACTACGGTGAAAATAGTTTTCATAAATTTCCAGTCACTCTTGACGAACAAGAGACTGAGTGGCTCCGGCAGTACAAACTCAAAAACCGGGACAAGCATGTTTCCACCCTTATATCTACATTTTTACAATACTTCATCCTAAATATAGCAAGATTTGTATGAAACAATGTTTTAGTGGTTAGTTTATTACTTGGTTACTCAGTTATTCATTAAGTCAGTCAGTTGGTTAGTAGTTCTTATCCATGTAAATGTATCTTTGGCTTCACACACAGCGGAATTAGGGATTAGGGATCGGAATTAGGGATTCAGTAGAGGGACATCAACAAACAGCACAACTTTAAAAGAGATAGATGTAATCATATAACATCACTGAAAATGTTAATTTGTTATTGAGTTACTAATTTTAAAACTAAGATGAATATTAAAGTTGTTAGAATAAGAAGGTAAGGAAAAAAGCAGTGTTTTAAAAAAGGTCTTGGTCGTGTTACATACTGGACTGATGTTACATTAACTCAGAGTAATGCAGAAAATAAAAAACACCAAACCTTTGTCCTTCCTGTTTGTTCCCAGTTGAATTCTTGTCCTCAACACTGAAGGGACTACAAGGAGGGGCAGTCTTCAGGTTGAATTCAGGCATGTTGGACATTGTGAGGTAGATTGGACGGTAGTGTCTGAGGTAGAGAAAATAATAATTTAATCGTCCACAGACAACAAATCAAAGATAGTTGGTGGATGTCAGCTTCATTTAACCTCCTCCATTTTTTACCTGCTTGAATCCTCAACCTTGACAAAAGGTTTACTGATTCGTCCACCTGGAAATAACATCACATATGGTCCATTTCAATATGAGCAGGTGTTAAAAGAGAAACAGAAAACCAGCAACGTTTGTAGCTAGAAATAAGAGTGAATGATAACTACGTACATACATTTGCTCAGATGTTTAGTCATAGAAAAGACATTTACCTCTGCATTTCTGAAACCCTTGCTTTGATCCTGACCCAGCTTTAACCTTGAGAAAAAAACAGTAAAAAGCATTTTAAAATGATCTATTAAACCATTCATGTTTTCACCAAGAATGTATTTAAAGTTTTAAATCCATAAACTTACATTTGTTTTGGCAGCAGAAGTCGCAGGACACTGGCTACTGATTATCTTTTTTCTCTTCTTTACATACGCTATAACATCTATAGTATGAAATAAAATGGATAAATCTACAGTAAGTCAAAGCAGAATTAGCTACCATTCGATGCACAGCACGAATTCAGGTTGTGCTTAATGTAATTAACAAAACCTGACATAACCTTGAGGACATACCATCTATGTAGAGGATTTTCACACCCCAATCCAGAGCATTTGACAGGATCTTGTTCATCTGTACCCTCTCCTAAACATAAACAGTGTCTGTTAGCACATGAAAGAAAAAAGATCATTAAAAGATCATTTGTAAACTCATTGTGTGTTGACTCAACAAACCTGATCTTTCACCACTCTCTCCAGCAAAGATTTACCTCGACTTGAGACCAACTGCAAATCAATGACAGAAAGATAGAATTTTTAACAATGATAAAAATCTTATAGGATTGCTGGTCAGATGTGAGACAGAAAGAAAAAATATATTTAGCTTTATCTTGAGGCCTAGCTTATGAAACAATGACAGACATGTTGCAACAATGAAAGTAAACTCACTGTCTCTGTTTGAGCCTGAGACCTGCTTTTCATGTTGTCCCCATGACTGCCAGGCCGGTGCGGGTTTGAGCGAGGGTGAGGTGAACTCTGTCCGGAGTCTGGGCTGGGTACAGGAGAGACCTGCCTGAAGCACTGCACATATCGGGCCTCCCGCTTGTTGGATACCAGATATTTAATTTCCTTACTGAAGAACTTCTCAACAACCTGAGTGACAGATACAAGATAAACAGGATAACGTTATTGGGGAAATCTTTAAGACCATTTCAAACAAAAGCTGGCATTGAATGTTTGAGTCAGATTCACCATCTTGTTATTTTTAGGTCAGATATTTTCTCAATTAAATAAACATTTCAATGTTTTTAGCTTGTGTGATCCAGGCAAAGTTTATTTATCATTTGAAATGTTTGTTAGAAGCATCGGCACAAAATTAAATCAGAAATGTTGATCCCAGCACAAAACTCTTTGGAACACCATGACTAATGTGTATGCATGGAAATGTTGTTGACGTGAACAACCGGTTGTCTATACAATGAGTGTGACCAGCCTATTGTGGTTCTTTTAATCCCAAACTTGTTATCAATGTGTCAAATTGCTGCTATAGGCATGAGGCTCCAGGGGGTATTCCCATGATTCAACAAAGGCTTATCACATGACTGTTTGTCTCTGCTGTGTCTTCTTTGTCCTGTTATTTGTCCTTTTCCTCTCTGTCCTCCTTCTGCATCCCTGACCCTAGAGCTACAGGATTCAGATCTGCCACAACTACTCAACTATTATTAGCATTAATAACATTATTGTTGTTATCATTATAACTATAATTATTTGGTATAATCGCTGTTGCTAGTATTGATAAGACAAACACACAGAGGTATTGATTATCATTGCCTTTACATTTACTGGTCAAGCACTTGCACATTGTGAGGTCTATTTGGTTTCTCTTTATGATAATGTAAGGTTTCAACTTTTCGCTGTAAAGTGCCTTGAGATAATGTATGTTTTAAGTTAAACTATACAAACAAAGTTGAGCTGACACAAGAGAAATTTAAATAATTTTGTCTCACCCCTCCCAGCTGTTTAATGTCCCTCTCCAGTGTCTCTGCTGTTCTGTTTGACGGCAGGTCCAGGTAAAACACTTTCCCAGCAAAAGGTTTGTTTTGAGCAGAAGATGACACATGTGACGAAGGCTTGGCTTGATTCAGAGTTGTTGTGTCACCAGTGTCGACGGCCTTTCCTAAAAGACAAAGATTAAAAGTCACAAAAGAAACGGAGAGGGAAATCCTCAGTTCAACAACTTAATCTCTCCTGAATATATGAATAATAGATATCACTCAACAGAAATAGAATCCAATGATTTGATAATTCTACAGTCAAAGCAGCACATTCCATCACCTGATTTCCTCAGTCCAAACAAACTGAAACTTATTCAACATCTGTACATAATATTTAAGTAATTGCACTTAATTTTCTTAGTGTTAAAATTGTGCTTCTGCTTGTAGTTACAACATCTATCACATGTCTTCTTCCTTCATTTCTCAAAATGATTTTGAAAAGTTAACTTGGCCTGGCTCGATTTAAACTGAGGACAGGAGAGCTGACCTCGTCACATCTTGAATAAAAGTGACATTAATAATAGATTTGAATTCGAGCAGATTAACAACTGATAAATCCATTTGTGAGATATCAACGGATGTAACTTAAGCTAAGTTAAAAGGTCCAGTGTGTAAGATTTAAGAGAAAGGGATCTATTGGCAGAAATTGAATGTAGAATAATCCTCATGATGTTTTCACTAGTTCGTTTCATCTAAATTGTGTGAACTGTATTTTTCTTCACCCAAGAAAAGGCCCTTTATATTGAAATACTTTATATTTACATTGAGGGGTCCCTCTCTAGGAGGCCATAGTTTAGACTGGACAAACTAAACACCTCTTTTTTTATGACAACTGAGCTACCACCGTTTGTTTTTCATGTTTGAAGGGGGGGTGAGGTGAGTTCAGCTGCAACATGACATTTCAACACACACAAACACAAAATTCTACACACTGAACCTTTAACTCTTCCGCCATGAAACAGGAGGGGCCTCAGTAATGACCATAGACTGTATATAAAGATGGACGTAGTGTCCGTGACGTCACCCGTTGGTTTCTGTCATAGACTGTATATAAGGTAATGACCCAGATTACAATAAAGCGATGAACAATAACATTACCCCTCGGGTTGGCTCCTCTGTGCCTCTGGATGCGTTTGGGCTTCATTTCACTGTCTTTCATCGGGAATAAAAAGTCGTTGTTCTCCCTGTGTGTTGAGTCAACATGCCGGGGGCCGCGCTCAGTTCTGGGTGTAAACAAAGTGCAAAGTAGTTGTTTACAAAGAAGAGAGAAACACAAACAGGCTTCTCAGAGGAGCAGGTGCCAGCTGCTGGTAACGGGGAACACTCACAGGAGGTCCGCGCTGCTTCCAAGCTTCGTTCTCGGCTTCCTGCTCTCCTTGCGTTGCGTTAGTTCGCCGAGTAAAGTGAATGAACGTCCCCGGAGCCGTGTCAGCATGTGTGTTAGCAGCGAGAAGCGCTAACCAGCTGTTCTTCACTTGTTTAATCAGCTGCAGGAAAGTTTGTTTGTCGCTCAACGTCCATTTCCCGCTTTAAATCCAACCTGGGGGGGGAGGAAGTGTCAGTTGCCACGTTCGACACTTTCCGTCCACGTGAGCACTAACCCGAACAGAAGCGACGCAGTTAACCGTTTACACTCCGACAGTGATTCTGAAAGAACACGAGGATCCACTTGTTCTACTGCTGACGTTGAATCGTTCTTTGTTCTATAAAATCAACGACATCGTCAACATCTTTGGAAAACTGTGAAGTCTCTTGTGTTTTACGGAAACTCATCAAACCTGGCAACGCTAAAATAAGTAAACACCGCCTGTGTTTGAATGAGATGTTTCCACATTTTTCTAACGTGAAATAAAATACCGCAATTAAATACGTTAAAAATATATAGATCGATGCATTGTTTGATTTGCAGATGTTTCATGTTTTTAACAGGTGAGTATTTTTTGTATGCAGGCTTGCATTTTATATAAAGAAAAATCCAGAAAAGAAATCCACGAATGTGCTCCATCGTATATGATATTACGCAACAAACGTCTTATTTGTGCTTGTGTAAACAGCCAGCGGCTGGGTTGTGACCCCCCCCCCCCCACACACCCACGTGTGTTTGCTTATATGGATCCTGTCAGACAGCACTAACCTCCACACTGTCAGGGACATTAAGCACCACAGAGGAATGTGCGTGTTCGTGGATGCTAAGAACTTTCAGCAGGTAGGAAATCGGCCAAGCTAATTCTGGTTAGCCTAAAATCAATGGCCACTGAGGAGTAGGGGAACTGAGTCCTTGCATATATGACTCGTATAAGACAAACTAAACGGATCTAATGTGGAGATGTGTTTGTGTTTCATGAAGACATCATGACTGGTCAAAGTCCATCACCTGCAGCCAGTAAGGACATTACTCCAGTCCAGGGGATGGTGGCGTCCTGCTCTGGAGCCATCATCACATCTCTGTTCGGTGAGAGACTCAACACCTGTCACATCTGTCACTTCTCCACAGAGTACCACACCTTTGTTCTGGCCTGGTTTAGTTCATGCACTGAATAATCACACTGCTCTTTATTGTGGTTTTAACTGTACTTTGAAGTGCTGTTGAATTTTTTGACATTACAAAACGTTTCTGTCACAGACACTTATTTATGTCATTTTTATTTATTTATTTATATAGTTTTGAATGGCAACACTAAGTACAGCCTTCAAAAATGATGATACAGTCGAATCAACACATAAACTCTAAAACTGAACATTATTTCCTGCAGGTAGGAATTGTTGCAGGACTGAACACATTTTAGCCATGTGTACTTAACAAACTGTCAAATGAATGTTTATCATACATGCATGTGCTGTTGTTTTAAATTTCTGCTAAAGGCACAGTGGTGTTTTGTGATGGTGAGGGAGCAGAGAGCTAAAACTGCCATAAAGACTTTCATTTAATTCAAAACAATAAAAATGACTTAAGATATGGTAAGATAAAACTTGATCCACACACCGGGGAAATTCAGTTGTTACAGCAGCAGGAAGGTCAGAATGAGGTAGACACAAGAATGTATATTAATAAAGAATATAAAAGAAAGGTAATGGAATAAAAATATAAAAACTAAATTAAAAAATGTTTACCGTTTACTGTAGTGGCTTGTATAAAATGTTATGAGGTAAAGTGCAGTGGCAAAGGATGATTGTACGAGCAAGTAAAAAACTTTGTACATGAGAAAAAAACGTTTGCACATAAACATAAATGTTCCAAGAAGTTATTTTATGTTAAATATAGTGACTTGATGTTCACAGTCACATCTTATTAATCACGTTTGAATTTTCAAAATTTGAAAAAATCAGACGGCCCCAATGAAAAATTGATTAAGCTTTGATGGTAATGTGAAATATCAGTTACACTAAAACATTCAACATTCTTTAAAAGCACTAATCGATTCACAGCATAGTGCAGTAACATAACAGTCCACTGCAAATAGATGTTCATCAATTAGTGCATTGTAATGTTGATCGTGAGACCTCAGTGGAACGACCACACTAAAAAGTCTCATACCGAGTTTTGTATTTTTCAGTCACACCGTTGGATGTTGTGAAGATCAGACTTCAAGCACAGAAGAATCCCTTCCCCAAAGGTATAGTGAATATGAATATAACTTAAATCCCTGTAGTGTTATTTTCCATATGCTCCCATTGGACAGTCAAGGTTATTTGTTTTTAATGTTCAGGAAAATGCTTTGTCTACTGTAATGGACTGATGGAACACATTTGTGTGTGTGAAAACGGGAACTCCAAGGCCTGGTACAAAGCCCCCGGTCACTTCAGTGGCACCCTGGTAAGAAATATTTCACATACCTGTTGTCTGTAATTTTTCTTGTTTAGTATTTTATGTTCTGAAAACCTCTTCTCTCTGGATCTCTGCAGGATGCCTTTGTAAAGATTGTACGCTATGAGGGAATAAAGGCATTATGGAGTGGTCTACCTCCCACCCTGTAAGTGTTTAGTCCTCTTTGTGTGTTTTACCACATTGCTTTCATTCTGCTTACTCTCGTCTTAAAGATGAGTTATGGAGAAAATGTGGTAACAGCTGATAACTCACAGTAATGTCCACACGTGTTTTCTCCAGTGTGATGGCAGTCCCAGCCACAGTGATCTACTTAACATGTTACGACCAGCTGTATGCAGCTCTCAGGCTCAGGATGGGCACCTACGCTGAGGAGGCTCCACTCCTGGCCGGATCTATTGCGAGAGGTGAGGGAGGTCTGCTGCTGTCACATCACTGAAGAGCACAGAATGTTTATTTAAACAAAATTAAATTAAACAAAATCTACCATCTTAAAATGCATCTGTTGGGTCATTAGTTCATTCATCATTTAAAACCTTTATTTGTTTCCCTGATGACATTCACACAGTTGGACAACTGGTTTGCGAGGGCAAACACTCATACTACAATTGATGTCGCAGCCAACATGTTGATATTATAATGAAGTGATCCCCTCAATTTTTTCTTTTTTCTGTCTGATGCACGTTTTGTTTTTCTAAACGTTTCATCTCTGTTTTGTCTGCATCTCATGTGTGTCAGTGGGTACGACGACAGTGATCAGCCCCCTGGAGCTGATGCGCACTAAGCTGCAGTCTGAGAAACAGACGTACAGGGAGCTGACTCAGTGCATCCGCTCGGCAATGGAGACGGAGGGCTGGCTGTCTCTGTGGAGAGGTCTGGGACCCACGCTGCTCCGGGATGTGCCCTTCTCGGCCATGTACTGGTACAGCTACGAGAAGGGCAAACGCCTGCTCTGTGAACATTACAACGCCAGAGAACCTACATTCAGCATCACCTTCATATCTGGAGCAGTGTCGGGCTCTGTAAGTGCATCAGCAAACATCACAGTCCATAAGTAAACTGCAATCTACTGTTTTGTTAATTCAAATTTCCTTCTTTTTTTCAGATTGGCTCCATTGTTACTTTACCTTTTGATGTTGTCAAAACAAGGAGGCAGGTGGAGCTGGGAGAGCTACAAGCAAAGAATTGTAAATATGCAAATCATTCTCTCTTGTCATTTTAATTAGTAAATACCCCTGAAGATTTATAAATGTTCTACATCAGTGGCCTTGTTCAGACCTGGTGTTAACATCCATCCTGACAGATGCGATCACAGGTGAACAACTCCCCATGTGTTCACACCTGGTATTAAAATGTGTCTCCTGTGACCACTTGTGATCAGATCTCACTTGCCAGCTCAGTGAAATCTGAACTGGACAAACAAAGTAAGATGTTTGAAACATGTCTAGTGAAACTGATGCTGGGGAGCAGGAGTTGCTGTGTTGGTTTGTCAGAGAAAAAGCTTGAGAACCACTGTTTCACATTATTGATTGTGATCAGTTTTCATGGGTCATTGATGAATGTCTTTGTCTTGTCAGTGTCCAGTGGGGTCTCATCCTCCACCTTCAGTGTGATGAGCAGAATTGTGGCACTGGAAGGCTTTCGTGGACTGTTCGCAGGTAGAAGCATCTCTGCTACTGCATTTTGAATTTTTATAATTATGGTATTTAATTACATGTTTAACCTCTTCTCTGTTGTCTCTCTACCAGGTTTCCTCCCCAGGTTGGTCAAAGTGGCCCCGGCCTGTGCCATCATGATCAGCACTTATGAGTCTGGAAAAGACTTTTTCCACAAACACAACCAGGAGCAGAGGCTGAGGCTGCAACAGACCAACGCCTGAAACTTCTCCTGGCACATCAAATAACTACTGCTGCTCTATAGCTGGAAGGAGGAAGCTAAAATTGCCAAATTTAAAATAAGCAGAAATGGGAGGACTGCATCGCAAATCAAAACTTATATCAAAATATTTGTATTATAGTATTTATTTGTCAATATTCCATGATTTTATGTGCACTACTTGAGCTCCTGTGCGCACAAGTGAAAATATTATTGATATCACTTGTGTGGAGATGCTGTGATCAGCCAGCAGATGGCAGTTTTGTTAATGTAGAATTCCCCAGGTTTGACATCACTGGCTGTGTCACTGGCATCATGAGCATTTAGCTTGAAGTCCTTACATTTTATTACACTGTGTCTGTTCCTCCATCACCAAGAGACAACCTCTGTGTTTTTGCACTGCAACACTAAATCCGCTGTTACCTGTAAATGTATGTTTGCAGTAGAAATAATAGCTTTATTGTTTGACTGATGTGTTTGGATTCAGGCCCTTTAGCGCAGTCATCCCTAAGGAGTGTTGGAAACAAGTTTTTATATTTAGAAACTAACCATTTTAAACTAACCTAGAACAGCATCATGTATTTAAAATTCTTATGTACAGGAATTTATTTAATTTGTCTTTCAATAGACGGAGGAAAATATCACGTTTAACCCTGCAGATTGAGTTTTGTTCAAATCTAAATCAGAAAGTGAATTAAACACCTTATTTTTCTTGCACTGGCACAAAGGCTTTGTGTTTTAAGATGTTTATATTGTGCATTTCAGTTTTTCAGATGCAGTTTGTTTTTTCCAAAATTGTTCCCCTTCCAACACTTTGTCTGATATACATGCAGTTTTTATATAGGGCCAATTTAAAACACTGGCCACACACTTTATACGAGCTGATATATAAAGTTAAATTATATTTAGCTTCAAATGCCTTTGAATTTGTGATTAAATTACCTTTAACTTTTGAAAAACCTTTGTAAAGGTCACAGGCCAAAACGTATCAGTCTAAGTTGATATCCTGCAATATCCTGTTGTATCCAATATCATGCAAGTGTTGCTGGAGTTTTGACTGCTTTAGTAAAACGTCTAAAATGTTCAACATACACACCTGATTTTTCCCTTAAAATTCTTCTCATTCGATTACTTTTTTTGGATCTTCATCATCATCTTTCACCACATCTGTTCATTGTGAAAAAAGAAACTCAAATATGTTTTACTTTTTCAGCAAGTGGAGTTTATTCAAAATGATAAAAAGGCAAAGAAATACAATAAAACATTCTGTAAGTGCAAATGACTGCTGCAACGAGGTAAAGGGAAAGTCATGAGTTCAGTGTCGAGGTACTTGGCTATAGTCGCCAGTGATACATCAATATGGTTCTTTATAGTATTAATCTTTATTCTGATATTCTATAAATACACATTTGTCATTATAATATCCCTCAGAGATTTTAATGACTGAGTCCTAACACATTATGCTGCATTTAGACAAGTTAAGATTTAATGACTGCAGTACAAAGCTAAACCCAAAGCTGATGGGTGGATATTAAACATAGTTCTCACCACCTGACAACAAACCACGTGATACTGCATTATGCACGTCCGACAACATATAAGACGGAGAGTGGCGAAGGAATATTTACACATGAGAACAAAACATGAGACTATATGTAAAACATAATATGACAAAAGTGAAGGTGTCTTCATGAGTACATAAAATCATGACTTGTTTTCAGTGGCAGCAGTAACCGCACAGAGGATATTAAAGGATCTTTTAGTTGCAGGAACAAAATCGTGAGAAAGAAAATCAAACACTGACCGAGGTTTACTCTGTTTCCTAAACTCTGATCTGATGCAGTCAGTATTTTCAACATGCAGTAAAACCTTCTTACAGAGGAGGGAGGACACACGCCATTGTCACCGTCTCCTCTATACTGTAAAGTGACATGGAAATGGAAATTCAGACACAAAACTTTTTTCATTCAAATATGTTTCCAAGACAGAAAAACTGAGGATGCTCCGCAGATAAAAACACCTGGAAAACAAAAACCTAACACATCCAAGAATCACATGAAGCTCACCAGATCCTCTGGCTGCACTAACTGAGACTAAGTGAGCAGTGTTTGGACGCAGAGGTTTGTCTGTGAGTCAGTTGCTCTGAGTTTTATTTTACAAACATGCTACTCCAGCTCCTCAGCTTTCAAAGCCGACGTCCATCTGTTAGAGCTCCGAGCTCCACACACGGAACGTAGACTCGTACAAACAGAAAATCAGTTTTCACCTACATTGATAAAGTTCCTGCATCATCTCTCCCACTGTTTTTTTTCACCATTCCCTAAGAAGGAGTGATGCCCGGGCTGCTGATCTCTGTTGCAGGACTGGCCAAACACTCGCTGGACTTCAGGCTGGCCAGAGACTTGTAGCTGGCAACCGAGGTGAGGGAGCCACACAGGCCTTTGAGGGAAGGAGTCTCCTCTTTATCTGAATGAGACAGTACATGTGGTTAGTACTCAAATCAGCTTCGAGAAGCAGTGCGTACTTGCAGGAGGTGACGTACCCTGGTGACGCCACTGTGTCCCGGCCAGCCTCGCCTCCAGACTCAGAGTGTGTGACGGTTCAAGGGAAGTCTGGGAGAGGCTCATGTCCATAGAGAGCTGCTCCAGACTCTGGAAACTCTTCCTGCAGAGAAAGAACAGCAGATCAGTTTATGCAGATAACGTTTGATGACAAGAACGGCAAATGAGGCAGCAGCATTTTTTATAATTGATTATTAAACATCTGCAGGGCCCAGATTCATTTTAATAGAAGTCAGTAAAAAAGCCATTATCATCAGATGTGAACTTGTCTACGTACTCCTCCCACTGTCCAGTCCTCTTCCTGTACAGCAGCGTGTCCAAGGCAACAGCGTTGGCGTCCAAGGCGTCAGGAGACGGCCACTGATTGGTCAGATGAGCTGTCAGCTCCTGCCTGGACCGCAAATCATTGTTCTTCAGCACTGTCCTGAAAAGAATACGTCAATTGTTGTGTAATTTCAAATGATTTTCATTTTAATACAATTATTGATTAAATAAACAGCAGCTTGCTTTAAAACAGTCAATAAATAAACTCATCATATAAAAAATTCAAGCTGCACAACTGAAGTGATTTAAAACAGAAATTACATGAAAAGCTTCAGAGCTGCTGGTTGATGAGACGACATAACGATGATGATGCAGTTTTTGCTTCTTAGCTAAAAGCAGCACTGAGTGTGACTGATTCAACAATACACAAATAACAAACCACCCGCGACCTCAGGCCGTCTTGCTGGGTCCTGAATGTCACTCACAGCTGGATCCTCCGCCAAATCCTCTTCACCTTTTCACCAACGACCTGACATGCATACACACACACGCACGCACGCACATGCACACAGAATGAACTCACAGTTGGTCCTGTAGTTCCAGTACGATGAACTCCAGCTGTTCCTTCTCCAGCGTGTGCGAGAGGTGTGTGTCTGCCAGGTTCTGCTCAAGAGCTTTGTTATGAGACACAGCCTCCGACAGCTGGGCTTCTCGTAGACGGACCAGCTCTTCCAGGTAAGCCTGAGGCAAACAAACACACACACTCTGTTCCATACACTGCGTTTGTTTAATGCCATGAACACACTGCTGCATGAATACACAGCTCAGTTCATGTTTTATATGAAATGAAGCTGAATGTGTGTTACATAAAATTGCCCTTCATGGGACTTAACTGGTTTTTCATGATTTAAACTTCTACTTGACGTGGAGGAGTCAAGGAATATGTCACACCTGCCTATATTATTACCGCGCAATTTATTTAGAAAAAACAGCTTAACACACTCGGACGATACCTTCTGCTCCAGCGCCATGCGATACTTCTGCTCGAAGCGTTTGCACTTGCTGACCAAGTTGCTCTGCTCGGTGAAGATGGAGGCGGCCGTGGCCGTTTTGTCGGGGGAGCTGCTCTCGCTGCCACTGCTCCCCAGAGTCCTCATCTCCTCCTCGTCACTGCTGATGCTGTCTGCGCTGCACAGGGAACCACAGTGTGGTCTCACGTTAGCACAGACACAAACACAGAGCTCTACGTCTTAGTAACTTAGTCTGAACAGAACAGATTTGTCTTAACAGTCCTTTCATTCGTTTACATCTTCAGTATCTTTATGGCGTAACGTAAAATACTATATTCAAGTTTACAAGTACAATTTTGCCAAATGAGGATTAATATTAACTTCTGAAACTCTAAACATTCTATGACGTGTGCCCTCAGATAAAACAACAACAAATCAAATGAGAACATACAGTACCCCCCCACACACATATTGATAAAAAGACTGGTTGGATATAAATACATAAGATGTGATCTGACAAACCTTTGCGTGAACTTCAGGTAAGGCGTGTAGTCGATCACAGCGGGGCAGCTGCTGTCCAGACCCTCCCCTTTCAGACAGAAGCTTGAAAGAGACGATAGGATGGAAATTCAAAGCTCTCATCACCGTCTCACTGCACATGTCTGCATAAGATTATAAAATGACCTGTGTGACAGCTGTTGTCACTGTAAAGGTCAATTAATTTAATGACTTAAAGTTAAGTGACTTAAAATGTTCTTGCATCCATCACCAGACCTGTGCTTTTCATTCAGCTTTTCACAGAACTGTTTAGACTTGTACTACTACACATGTACACAAATTCAACATCTAACGCAGCACCCCCATCCTGCAGTAAATGTGAATGTTCCTATTTGATGAGGATGAACTATTAGTTGTAGAAAGAGAAGTCTTTTTTCAGCTTGCTGGTCTTTGTAGCGTATCCTCATTGTATTTAATTTATCACTGAGGATTCAATGCTCCTCTTTGCTGATGCAGTTTCCTTTAGTTGGGTATGTGATTTATTATTTTAAAGCTTTCCCTCGAGCAGCATCACATAATTCTGCAAAGTCTGCAACTGATCCACCTGCAGTGTAAGCAGCAGCTCTCTGGCCTCTTAGTCCCTTTAGCAGTTGCTTTACATTTCAGTGAAAACAAAGAGTTGATCACCAGCCAGATTCACTCTAATTGACTCAGGCCACTTCCTGACATGCTGAGGCAACAATCCACAACAAGGGAAAATCATGTCATGTGGCCTCAGGAAGAGTCTTAAAAACCCTGGAAACTACTGTATGTTCAACATAATGAGCCAAACTAAAAAGGCACTAGGAGAGCACATAGAAGAAGATTAGTATTATGGAATGAAATAGTGTTTTTATTCAAAGATATTTCTGGTATTTACTGTAAATTATTTAGTACTGAAGCGATGATTCTATTTCAGTCGAGTGCAGCAGCAAGGGGAGCATTGCAACTCTATGAGGATGAAAACCTTCTGGATTGACTGAGCGAGCAGGAAAGTTTGAGTGAGAAACAGCAGAACGTGATGAGTACCTGAAGTCGATGGTGTTGAGTCCAATGAGTGTGTCTGCCAACAGCCCCGCCTCCTCTCCCATCATGATCGCACCGTCCTCATAACACCTCCTAGAGTCAACACAGTGGTGGCATGAATTCAGCTCCTCAGACTCAAGTCAAGTGACAATGATGTGACAGATCCCTCACAGACACACTTGTGGGACTGGGCTGAGGGGGATAATGTGTGTGTGTGTGTGTGTGTGTGTGTGT